GCAACAGTAACAAAATAATCAGATCCATGCTTTTGAGTACACATCAAGGAAAAGCACCATGGAATATCATTAACGTTTGCCTCATGCATTTTGTATTTACGTATGCAAATAGAATGCAAAAAAAGTATAATTTCCTTTCCCTGGAAACTTGCTAAATTCCAAATCCAAGCACTTATAAACCATTACAATTGGTGCTAAAATGGAATTGGCAGAATTATATAACTATAGTCTTTTAATTGAATGTAAGTTGAATTATAATTAACCAAGGGTTGAACTTGATTAGTTCTTTGATTACAGACCATCAAAAAACATAGGCTAGAGTGAGGAGTTAAAAAAAAACATTCTGGAAGAAGGCAATGGCAAACTATTTTATACTGTCGTTCAGAAAATATGGACATATGCACCAAGTCACAAGGAGCCTAGATCAATTTAAAGGTGATTTAACCTTTTCAACATCTATTTCTTCTTTTTTATTATCAACTCAGGACTGACATGATAAATTACCTGGACTTGTTTCTGTTATAGCTGGAGAATCAGTTTTCACTCCTTGTGCATGGATAGAATAAGGCCTAAAGGCCATGTTCTTGAAAATAATTCTAATTCTATCTCCAACATTTGTAAGAAGCAGAGGACCTTTGGAGAGGTAAAAATAAACATGTAATACAAAAATAAAGTAAAAGGGAAGTATAAAGCTATACAAATATTTCAGACATCAGAATTGAATGGATTTACATGAAGGCAAGCTGAACTTTTCCTGGATCAAGAAAGTTTTAAATAGTAACCTTAAAGCCAACTACAAGTCATAGTCCTGGATCAGGCACAGCATAACAATAAACTAAGACTTAATCTGGTTTCTCATAGTGCAAAACTACTGGATTAGTTTGAGGCTCACATACTTCCCATCCTGTGTTGACCTTCCTAGTTACATTTAACCATAGCTAGACATTACATTCCAAAACATGAATTATGGTTACTTAAAACTACTGTATGCAGCCATTGGAAATGACATTTGGACCTTAGTTTGCTTTGAATTAGTAGATTTAGAATTTTGAGACCATGTGGACACTATTGGGGAGACATAAAATGTCTGCCATGGACAATCACAGAAGAAATCTGAAGAGGCAAGAAGCCTTCAAGGTATGAAGGTAAATATCCATAGGTACCATAGACAGCCATAATTTAAATTAGCCAGCTACGTGATGTTCTTGGGACATACGAAAAAATGGTACTTAGTTGAAACTAGGTAGAGAATCTGGTTTCTTCAGAACACCAGAGCCTGACTTGGTTTATGGTTTAGCATTATATGCAAACTGAGCCAACTGTTTTTTCAGGACCTAGATGAAGTATGCTCAGCTTCAAGTGAAGCAGATCTGCCTTGTTCGCTTCAGTAGCAGCCTTGGTTGACATGAAATTTAATCAAGATTTTCATGCACACTGGTATTGCTTGATTAGGCCATCTATGTGTTTGGAATTTACACAAAGTTCACAAGGGGATATTTATTCATAACTATATCAGCATAGGTAAGCAAGTAGACCCGAATGGAGAAATCTTTGCACATATGACAACAGCACACTGCTGTTCATTCATTGACTTTGTAAGCTGATTAGAGTCTATTAGATGCAACACAGAAGGTGACATGATACACAAACAAATACATAAGTAAAAAGTTTCCATGTAGACATTGCAAAGCTTCTGGCTTGACCCATTGGTTTAATCCTGAAATCACTCCCTAAAACTATGCTTCAGTCAGCACAAGATATTCCCATGAATGGTTGTTTTGAAGATTGCACTATAAAATATGATACATTGTAATGTAAAGCTCCAGATCTTTACTGAAGCTCTTGAAGCCAATACCTAGGATTGCCAAATGCTCCTCCTCTTCATTCCGTTCTTTAAGGGTGCTGAATGTTTGGTCAGTATATTCCCGATAAACCACTTTCTTGTATTTTGACCCAATGAATTTATCTTCCTTGTTTAAGAATGGATTTCCTGGACTAGAGGAAAAAATGAAGCCACGATTCACATATCCACACACACAGTTGTGCACCCAAAAAAATTTCATGAGAAAGGCAGGGTTACCACTCCATAGTAAAAGCCTCATATAGAAGGATATAAGTGCTGCCATTGCACCACATCGCAGCAGAAGACCCAACTCCTTGTTCCCATACAAATTTGGATACATCATACAAGAGAGAGTTTTCTAAGGTTTTATTTTCATTAGTGCTGTCTTACCTCTCATCATGGAACTGATGCCTCTCTTGCTCCCATGTCCTGTTAGGGGAATAGTCCCATTCGAGCTCTATGGCTGCAATGTAGTAGGTCTTCTGATGAGTGTATTGCTCATCTTTTGCTGAAGAACCACACCTCTTTACTTGATATGTCTGTCTCATACCACCTGTGTAATGATCTGTTGTGAGGCAGGCCACTTCAAAAATACCTGGAGAAAGAAATAGGAAGCAACTAGATGAAACAAGCAAATAAGAAAAAGGCAAACTTAGGCACATCTAAAAGATGCAATATCTAACCTGCATTATAGTACCATTTCCAAACCAACAGATCAGTCTTCACCATCTGGCACCTACGATAGCTGAGAATTTGGGGAGTTGCATCTGTCATACCCCCAGAGGGTGGCAGGCTGGTGTAGTATCAAGATATAAATGAGGCAGTGGAATGTCATTCTGTAGTTCTAGGGCCCTTTGACTCACAACAAGATAGCTGTCTCTTTGTCATGTTTGACAAAGAAAGAATCAGAATAATATTTCCTCATAACACACTTGAAGTTTCTCAAGAAACCAATTCCAAACCAGTTCAGTGGGTCCTAGTGTGCATCAAACTACTTCCTGGATTTCTTCTGCTGCTTTAACAACAGGATAATAGAGGTTATCTTTTATAAAATATTTAAGTTTGCTAGTGCCCCTCCCCCTCCCCCTGCCACAAGCCATAATTCATATTTTACGAAGACATTGCATATACTCAAATATAATGTTCTTTTTTTCAGCTACATAGTAGACTCTGGTAAGAGTGTATAGGGCTTGTGGAGATGCAATATACCAGGGGATCTCACAAAATGGCTCATGAAAATAAGTTTTTCAATTGAAATACAATCTTGGATTATGGATTAAGAGTGGAAGAGGACAGAAACATAGAATCAGATTTATGATTTGGAAATTGCGCATTCCACATTTGGAAAAACCTAGTAAAATATGTACATTTGGACCCACTGCAATAATACCTAGAGAGGATTTTTATAAATAGTAAATGTGATTTTGTTGTTCACCTTCTGAGTCAGGCTTCATAACAGCTGTGGCAGAGGTATGCGGGAAAAGATTAACTGTATCCTTCCTCGTCCCTTTAATCACCAAAGTATTTCCTGAAAAATATATTCCATGAATGTCAACTTCAGATCCCAAGCCCATCAAATGCCAGGAAACGATCTCTCCACGACACATCTCAAGGCCTTTCTGATTCCCGTACATATATCCATTTATAGCTGCAAAAGAAGCATGCAAATTAACAAAAAGATTACACATGTTATCCAACTAACAAAACAGACAACTACATCTAAAGTACATGATGCTCTATCACCAGGTCCCCAACAGGAAATAAAATTACAGATAGCTGCAGTCAGTATTTTTATTTTTTTGTCTTCTGGTATAGGGAAGTTTTGTGATTGGCCACACCTACCACAGCAACCCCTCTAAGTGCCCATAACATGCTGCCAAATGTTCAGATACATCTAATGACCTAAAAAAGGTGGGAGACACCTGCTGTTTTGTTTTAGAAACATACAGAAGCCATCAAAAGCAAAGAAAATCATTTCCTAAATCTATGTATCTGGGACATTTAATAACATAGGTTGCTCAGGTTTATGTAGCTTTATCCCAAAATGAGGCGTCCTTTGTTAGTGGGAGCTAAGCAAGCATGTAGCATCTATATATGAATCTATGCTGTTTTATTAGCTCCAAAAATCTGGAGGATCCCTAGTCGACAACAAAGCAAACTTTAACAATGTATTGTCGAAGGCTTTCACGGCCGGCATACGATGGCTGGGGTGGGTCCTCCGGGCTGCTGGGCCGTGGTCCTGTAGGTTTGTTTCCTTACGGTTCCCCAGCGCCTGGGATCGCGCATTTTA